CACACACACACACACACACACACACACACACACACACACACACACACCCTGGACCCTCCACCTTCATCCCCTGCTGCCCACCTGCCGCTCACCTTGCCACTGCCCCCCAGCCCGTCCAGGCTGCTCTCTCTCCAGGGTAAGAGCTGCAAACCGGGGGAGGCAGGTCGTGTGAAAACATCCAGCCCTGCAAAACACACATCGTGAGGATGGACTTCAGACTCCTGTCGTCCAGGTGCCCTCCATCCTCCGTCACTCACGTTCATAGCTCGCTGTCTGCGAAGACTTTTTCTCATAAGCTACGTCCAAATCAGACTCGTTCCAGACTTTCGGGGGCCTCCGGCGCAGCGTCAGGTCGTCTGGGGAAAGGGGTGCGTGAGTGAGGGTGTAAGCATAGGCTAGACCCGGCCAACCTCCCTAAGAGTGGGTCCCCGTGCACCTTGTGCGCGAAGCGGTGGGGCGAAGGCACTACCACCCGCGCCCAACAGGGGGCTCCCAAACGCGGCCGGTGAGTCGTAGCCTGCAGTGGCTGGACGTGGGGAAGGTCCGCGCTCCGGGAAGAAGGCCTGGGGTCCCTCAGCTAGAGGGCTGCCCCGGGGGGACCCTGCGCGACCCAGGTAGTCGAAGGGCGTCGAGGGGCCCGGTTGGCGCAGCGAGCTAGCCCCAGGCCGCGGAGACGGCGCCCGGCCATGGGGACTGGCAGTCCCGTCAAAGGCACGGGGTCTGGGCGATGGCGCACGGTCCAGGCTGCTGTAGGCATCGGGCTGCAGGTAGATGGGGGTGCGCGGGGAGGACGGCCGGCCTTTGGGGGACAGAGGACTGTAGGGGTGCAGGGACGGGGCACTCTCTGAGCGTCCAAAACGGGTCTCTGTGCCATCTGTGGATGTCTTCTGCGGGGACCCTCTGCTGCCAAAATGCTCTGGGACAGGGCTGGTGCTGTACCGGGATATCTGTGGGTAAGTCAGGTACGGAAGAGTCAGAGGAGACAATAGGGGGCAAGTGGGAAGATCAGCGTAGATAATAGAAAGTCAATGCGGAGATGTCAGAGTAGGCCTGCTGGACTGCACGTGCGGAGTGCGGGCAAAGCCCGGGCGCGAGGGGTTCTAGCTTGTTACTGGTTCTTTTATTCGATTTAAGAAAAGGCCTTGTGCTGCATGTAAGCCCCTCTCCCCACGTTAATCCCAGCAAAGGTAAGCGAATCTCTGTGAGTTCGAGGCCAGCCTGATCTCTAGAGAATTCCAAGACAGCCTGGGTTGTTACACAGAAAAAAATGCCTGGGTAGTGGGGGGAGTTTAACCTGGCATGGTGGTGCACACTTTTAATCCATGGACTCAGGAGACAGAAGGGCAGAAGCAGGCAAATCTCTGTGAGTTCGAGGCCAGCCTGGGTTGTTACACAGAGAAACCCTGACTGGGGTGGGGGTGGGCAAAGCTCACACCCTGGGAGGGGTAGGCTCACACCTTTAATCCCAGCAGACACAGGTAAGTCTCTGTGAGTTCAAGACCAGCTAGGGCTACATACTGAGACCCTATCTTAAAAATTAAATTAAAATAAAATTACCTTTTCATCAGGGTCTCACAAAGCTCAGGCTACCTGAGGGTCTCCAGGTAGCCACGTGTGGCTGTGAATTCCTTATCCTCCTGCCTCTACCTCTCCAGTGTAACAGGTGTGTACCACAAGCCCTGATTTTATATGGTACAGGAGATGGAACCCAGACCTTCATTCATGCCAGGCAAGCATTCTACCCACTTAGCCAGCCTCTGTGTAGCCCAGGCTGGCCTTGAACTCACTGTGAAGGAGTGAGGCTGGCACTGAATTGATCCTTCCGCCTTAGCTGCCTTTAGAGCAAGTAAGAACCTACTCTCTGTGCCCCTCTCTTCTAGATGGCCTTGCAGAGCTCACAACCTACACAGCCTTAGAAACTCAAGCCTCTCCTAGGGCATGGAGAGAAGCTGGCTTTGGGAGGATCAGAGCGGGGGGTCACCAAGCTCACCCTAGGGGGGGCTCCAGCCTGTGGGCCAGGAGGCGCTGGCGAGTCTGACCACCAAGACTCTAACTGCTTGGTCAGTTCATCCACTTTGGCGGCCGCGGTGTCCAACTCCATCTGTTTCAGGTCCATGTGCTTCATGGCCAGCGCTGGGTGTGGGAGTGGAGGTCAGGACCACGCCCCCTACACCCCGTCCCCTTGCCGGGCCCTGCCCTCCCGCCCCTGCCCCCAGCTCACACTGGAAGTTCAGATCCAGAAGATCGCTCGCATTCTGGAATGCTTCGCTGTCCATGGTGCCGGCCGGAGCAAGGTGCCTGCCGGGATGGAGAACTTGCTCAGACCCTCCAGGCCACGCCCCTCCAGGCCCAAACCCAAGGAAGGCGCCCAGGATGGGGATAGGGCTTTCTACAGTCATAAAGGTTCCAAAATGCCAATTCCTTCAAAAACTCTGTCCATGTCTACTACCTACAGAGAAGTCCTAAGCCATTATAGAAAGTTGGAGACAAAGAATCTCTCCATCACCCCTCATAGGGTATTGAACTAGGGCTAAAATAATTGTTACTTTAATGAATGTCTACTAGGGACTAGGACACCAGACATTTTGTTGTTGATTTTTTTGTTTTGTTTATTGCTGTAATGAGGATTAAAAACAATGCCACATACATGTCAGATAGGTGCTCTACCACTGAGCCACACCCCAGCTCCTCACTGGGGGATTCTAGGCAGGGGCTCTACCACTGAGTTACTCCTCCATCCATCTGTTTACTTTCTATGTTGACACAGGGTTTTGTTGTTGTTTTTTGTTGTTATTTTGTTTTTTCTGGACCGGTTGTGTAGCTTTGGTTGGTGCCTGTCCTGGAACTAACTGTCTCTGTAGATTAAAGGCATGAGTCACCACCACTTGGCCTTTTCTTTTTTTTTAAGATTTATTTACTTATTATGTATACAACATTCTACCTTCATGGATGTCTGCAGGCCAGAAGAAGGCACCAAATCTCATTATGGATGGTTGTGAGCCACCATGTGGTTGCTGGGAATTGAACTCTGGAAGAACAGTCAATGCTCTTAACCTCTGAGTCATCTCTCCAGTCTGACACAGGGTCTTTTTGGTTTTTTTTCTTTTGGTTTTTGTTTTGTTTTTTGTTTTTGTTTTTCAAGACAGGGTTTCTCTGTAGCTTTGGAGCCTGTCCTGGAACTAGCTCTTGTAGACCAGGCTGGCCTCGAATTCACAGAGATCCGCCTGCCTCTGCCTCCTGAGTGCTGGGATTAAAGGTGTGGACCACCACTGCCCAACGACACAGGGTCTTTTTAAGTATTCAGGGTGACCTGAAAACTTTATGCACCTAAAACTACGTAGGCTTCAAGATCCTTGGCCTGCCTTGACCTCCAAGACTCTTGTTTTATAAGTCTGTACCTGTACACTAAGTTTGCTGTGTGGTTTTAGTTGTGTTTTTAGATTATTTATTCTAGGTGTATGAGCATCTGCACAGCTGCATGCTTGGTGCCCATGGTGACCAGAAGAGGACATCAGAGTCCCTAGAACTGTGGTTACACATAGTTGTGAGCCACCATGTGAGCCATCTCTCCAGCTTGTTCTTGTTGCTGTTGTTTGGGATAGGCTGGTCTAAAACTGGTATGTAGGCTAGAAGTACCTCAAACTTCTGCTCCTCCTACCCCTACGGCCTGAGTGCTGAGATTATATATAGGCTTGGAGCACCAAGTGGGTTTGTGGTGCTGGGGATGGACCCAGGGCATCATATACACTACGTATGCACGCCACCAACTGAGCCACAGCCCTAGCCCCACTCTCCCCTTTAAACAACAGCTATGAGCCAGGCAGGTGCCTTCCTGTAAAGTCAGCTCTCAGGAGGCAGCCGTAAAGAGTTTTTAGTTTCAGACTAGCCTAGGCTAGAGTGCACTCAGTCTAGCCTGGGCTACAGAGTGAGCCCTGCCTCAAGGAAAAAGGACTTCCTGCCAGGCAGTGGTGGCATATGCCTTTAATCCCAGCATTTGGAAGGCAAAGGCAGGAGGATCTCTGTGAGTTCAACTCTCAGCACCCTCATGGCAGCTCACAACCATCTGTGACTGCAGTTCCAGAGGACCCAACACCTTCTTCTGGCCTCCATGGGCATCAAGCACACATGTGGTGCACAGACATACATGCATGTAAAACACTCATATACATAAAACAAAAATCTTAAAAAACAACCACACATAAGGCAGATAGTAGTAGTGGAGGACACTGACCCATGGCTTTATGTGCAGGGACACACTAACACATAATACATGGTGACAAACTCCAACACACACTACACAGTGACATACTGCAACACACAATACACAGTGACATACTCCAACACAAAACACGATACACAGTGACATACTCCAACACACGATACACAGTGACATACTCCAACACACAATACACAGCGACATACTCCAACACATGCTACACAGTGACATACTCCAACACACGATACACGGTGACATACTCCAACACATGCTACACAGTGACATACTCCAACACACGATACACGGTGACATACTGCAACACACAAAATATACAGTGACATACTCCATACATACTATACACAGTGACATACTCCACACACAGAAATACACAGAGAGGGAAACCACAATACACACTGCACACACACGCCACTCACAGGAGCACACACATACAAAACCTTGCTAATAAGCAAGAAAATACAATTCAGACAGGTTGGAGTCATGGGCTCACATGTCTGTGGTGCACCCCTCCCTCCCAGCACTTGGGAGGTGCAGGCAAAAGGATTAAGACTCATTCTTGGCTACTCAGCAAGTTGGAGGTTAGTCTAGACAATAAGAGACCCTGTCCCAAAAAAACAAAGAGAAAAAGGAAGAAATAAAATGAGAGAAAAGAAAGAAGCCTGGGGTCGGATTGTTCAGCAGTTTTGGAATCCCAGCACCCATGTAGGGCAGCTCACAGTTGCCTGGAACTCCAGCGCCAAGGGATCCAACACCCTCTCCAGCCCCAGAGGGCACCTGCACTCATGTGCTCACAGTAACATACACACACATACTTTTTATTTCTTTTTTTAAAGACGTATTTATTTATTATTTATTATGTATATAAAGTTCTGTCTGCATGTATGCCTGCAGGCCAGAAGAGGGCACCAGAGCTTATTTATGGTGATTGTGAGCCACCATGTGGTTGCTGGGAACTCAAGACCTCTGGAAGAGCAACCAGTGCTCTTAACCTCTGAGCCACGTCTCCAGCCCCCACATACACATACTTAAAAATAAAGTAAATCATCCAGGTGGTGGTGGCGCACGCCTTTAATTCCAGCACTCAAGAGGCGGAGGCAGGTGGATCTCTTGAGTTTGAGGCTGGCCTAGAAGACATTTGTGCTGTCAGCAAAAGGCCCTGTTCACACTGACCCATTGTTAAGGGGGGGGGGGGCGTGTAGTCAGGGCCAGAGATGCAGCTTTGGTCACCGGCCAGTAGGAGGAAGCTAGGCTGGGAACCGGTTACACCAGCCATCTCCACGGCAGCCGCCACGCCCGCCAGCTCTGTCACCTTTTTAGCTTTGGCGGTAAAGGTGTAGGCCGAGGGGCCAGCTTGGACATGTTGACACCAGCCTGTCTGGGAAGCCACAGGCACAGAACTTGTTGGGGTTAGTGGCTCATCTGAGCACGCGTGACCTTGAGTCCACTCCACTCCTAGAGCAGGAGACTCCCCTGACTCTGCCTGAGACTCCCCATGAGGCAGGAGGATATAAACTAAGTACCCCAAAAGGCCCTTCTGATCTCAAAGAGAGCTCCACTCTAAAACCTGATACTTGCTGTATTTGGTCTCACTGCATAGCCCAGACTGTGCAGGAACTTTACTAACGGCTCCTCCTGCCTCTCTGTGGCTGGAGCTATGGACACGCATCACCATACCCAGTAAGGACTCTGAGATGGGGAAGTTCTACAAAGATGGACCTGAAAGCTTAAGTGGCTACTGAAAGAAACATCTGGACTGGAAAGGGATCTAGTTCAGTGGTAGAGCCCCTGCCTAGAATCCCCAAGTGGGCTGGGGTGTGACGCAGTGGTCAAGCCCCTGCCTAGAATCCCCCAGTGAGGGGCTGGGGTGTGGCTCAGTGGTAGAGCCCCTGCCTAGAATCCCCCAGTGAGGGGCTGGGACGTGGCTCAATAATGGACCTCTGTCTATTGTTATTGAGTCCCTAAATTCAATCCCTAGTAGAAAAATAGGCTCCGAGTCCCAGAGTCTATCTCTTTCTAGTCTACCTCTATCCTACTCTAGAATTCTTTTACTTGATTTGCCCACAATTTCTAGTTCCCTGACGCACTTTCTGACGATCCCAAAACTGCGCTGTCCTAGAGTCTGCCACAAGCCAGAAACCTGAGGTGAGGATGTTAACTCTGGAACAAGAGTGCCTTGGTTGCTGAACTTGTAAAACAAAGATAAATAGGTTACCTCACTGGACCAGTGCAAAGATCTGTCTCAACAAAAGATACAGGAGGAAAGCAGAGCCGTTAGAATTCCGGCCTCAGAAAGCAGAGTATAGTCAGGCCTGGCCGCACACACCTGTAATCCCAACTTACTTGGGAGACTGACCCAAATCGAGGGAGAGTTCAAGGCCAGGTTGGACAGCAGAGTCCATTGAAGGGGCCAGCCTGGGCAAGCCTGTCTCAAAATAAAAGTTTAAATAAAGGGCTGGGCATGGTGGCACATGCCTGCAATGCCAGCTTTCAAAGGCAGAGGCCTGAAAATATGCTCCAGGCACGAGAGATGGCTCTGCCGTTTAGAGTGTGGAGGGCCAGAGTTCCAGCTCCAGCTGCGGCTTCTACCTCTGAAGGTATCAGCACTTGTGTGTGCACAGAGGGCTGAGACACAGCTCAGCAGGTAAGAGCCTGTTCTTCCAGAGGACAAAAATTCTGTTCCCAGTACCCGACAGGAAGATCTTTTGGCAAATATACCACTATCAAACTGGATTCTGAGAGCAAGGCTGTTCCCAGTGCAGGTACGGGTGGTAGAAACACCTCTACCGCCAGGGGGCGCGCGTTCTCGGCGGGGGCCCATTCTCCGCGGGCGCAAAGGCTGAGCTCAGGCATGGGGAATGCGAGGCGGGCCTGGGCAGGTGCACAGCTCCAAGCCAGGGAGCTGGGCGGGCCGGGTGAGGCAGAGCCTCAGTTCCCATGCTCCTGATCCTGCCCTCCACCCTCAGGTCTTCTTCCTTGGGCTGCCCTCCAACTCTAGCTCCCCTTCAACTGGCTCCCAGCTCTGATCCACCCTTAGGTTTCCTTGCCCGCCTCCTCTGTACCACAGCCAGATTTAGAGGTGAAGGATCCTATCGGACTTCCTGAAACAGTCAGTGGGATCCAGGTCAGGGCCTTGGGATGGGTTGAGAACACCCAAAGTGTAATCCTTCACTCTACCTGGGTCAGACGTGCCTCTGTGGAATGGGTTAGGGGCTTCTCCTAGCCAAGCCTCACCACGACAGTTTCTCTGTCCCCCAGTTTCTCATGTGTACTGTGTGTATGTGTGTATAGGGGATTTATGCCTTCACCCAGATGAGGTGTGAGGTTCGGGGGACCTAAATTATACAGTGTTTACAACAGCGCAGTGTAAGGACTGAATGTCTCACATCCTGGACTGCTATGTTACCAGCCTTCCTCTACGGTCCTCTAGGGTAACACAGATGAGTGTCTGCAACCCTAGCACCTGTAACACTGAGGCAGGAGGATCTCCAGTTCAAGGCCACTCTGGGGTACATAAGCGAAGCTGTCTCAAACAAGAGCTGAACTTCAGCTCCCAGCAACAGAGAGCTCATGTAGCTTGCACGTGGCTTGGGTTCAGTCCTTGAGGCCAGGGGGATCAACCACACATGGGTAGGCTCTGAGTCAGGGGCAAAAGCCCAGGCACCATAGATTCTCCCAGAGAGTCTTTTGTGAGAGCTCTTGGTTGGTTGACTTGACTGGATCTATGTAGACCAGGTTGACCTGGAACTCAAGAGAGTCGCCTGTCTTTGCCTCCCCAGGCCGGGATTAAGAAGCATGTCCACCATGCCCCACTGTGGTTGTCTGGGTTTCCTGACAGTGTATCGTGTAGCCCATGCTATGTTTTTTGTTGGTTTTTTGTTTTTCTAGACAGGGTTTCTTGGTGTAGTCTGAGCTGTCCTGGAATTCACTCTGTAGACCAGGCTAGCTTCGAACCCAGAGATCTGCCTGCCCCTGCCCCCACCCAAGTGTTGGGATTAAAGGTGTGTGTCATCGCCACCCGGCACCCGGGCTATACTTAAACTTCCAATCCTCTGGCCCCCACCTCTCCAGTGCTAGAAATACTAACATGAAACTTGACAGTCTGCTTTATTCAGTTCTGGGGAATGAACCCCGGGGATCCTGTATGCTAGACGAGCGTTCTGTCCTCTGAGCCCGCGTGCCTGAGCCCCTTCTTTCTGAGATCCTAAGAGCCCTGGGTTCTGTTGCCAGTGGTCTCATCTGCCTGAGCTTTCAGACCACAGAACCCCAAATTTCCCACCTGCCACAGTGATTATCCCCAGGAATGCAAGACTACGGCAGGGTGAGAACCCTGGAAGATTTCAGACAGAAACTGGCAAGATTCCAGGGTGTGGGTGGTGTCTTTTTGCCAGCCTCAGTTTCCCCATTGCTAGGGAGGAGTCCTCCTTGAGGTCAACAAACTCCATTGAAGGTGGAACTCGCTGTTCCTACCTTTGGGTGATTGCCAAACGCTTCTGTGGATGTAGAGATCCATCCTGACCTGGACCTGGCAGGACAGTCTGTGTTGGCAGCTGTGGCTATGATTTTTTTTCATTTCATTTCAGGCTGTCACTGGTGTTCTTACAGGCATTAACCGCACCCTCCTTCAGATTCTTGTCCCTCCCACCCCCACTAGCTTCTTAATCCCCAACACAAGGGCCCAGAGGTGGAGAGACAGAGCGAATAGCCTTCCTGTTCCTGCCCTCTCCCAGGCTCAAGGGCAGACACCTCCAGAATTAGCCTCTATCCCTCCCTTATCTCCCACAATACCTCAGGTCAGACAGATGGAAGTGGAGGTGACATTTCTCACCTCTGGGTCAGCGCAAGGAACCCCACCACGGAAGGAAGAAGGCTAATTAGAAAAATTTGGTGAGAGTGAAGGAATTCTCACAGACAGCTGTCACAAGATCAAAGGCGATGTAGGGCTCACCAGCCTCAGTTTACCCTTTTCATTCCGTGCAAATGCAGCAGTACACAGCCACACAAGCCTCCCGGATTCAGCCCCGCGGTCCTGTTATTCTGGCCTGGGCTCTACAGTGACCTCAGCAAACCCCAGTTATTTCCCACCCCAATGGGGCAACAAGAGGTACGACCCCATCTCCGCTAGGGGGCGCCCTCGGTCAGATGTGCCCCCTCTGGTTAGGCAGGTCTGACGCCCCGGTTAATGACATGTTGGGGTTCGCTCAGCGGCACGGAAGAGGTTGGAGAGCTGCCCCCGATTTCTCATCCCCTGCCCCCATCCCAAAACCAGAAGTGGGGTGTAGCGCCAGGGCATAGCTTTCTGAAGGATCCATGACCCCACCCCCATGCCTGTCCCACTCTTTCCAAAGACCAGGATCCACTATCCCAGTGGCACGAATTTGACGCAAAGACCTAGAGTGGCTCGGTGCTAAAGGCTGCTGGAGGGCGACCGGGTACCCAACCATTCTAGAACGACCTAACCTCCCACATCTATCCAAAATTCAGCGATCCGAGACTCCCAATATTCCCCCGAGACACCTCCAAGAGTCCCCAATTAAAGTATCCAAGAATTCCAGTTCCAATGGCTCCCCGGGATCAAACGCTCCGAGTACTACTAAGATCTCAGTCGTCCAAGCCCCTATCCATCTGCCCAGTAAAGCCGGCACGCCAGTTCTCTTTCCAGGGACCCAGGCGTGAGTGTTCCACAATTTGCCCTGGGACCTAAGGTCCCAGGTCCCACCAAATCCTCCCAGGGACGCGGTGTCAGGTTCTGGGATGGCTAGACCCCAGGTGGGGTGGAACTCACGCGTCCGGGGCAGATCCTGGCACCAGGGGGTTTTTCCTCGGGCTCCGGCTCCGGCTCCAGCGGCGGGGAGCGGAGGACGGGGCGGGGCAGTCTTAGGGAACAGGTTAGACGACGGGACTCTGACTGGAGGAAGGCGTGTCCCATAGGGGGAGGGAGAGCTACGATCGCCTCGAGCACCTTGGGATTTGTAGTCCCGGAGGAGCGGGGCGCAACCGGGGACATTTCCATTTGGAGTCAGGCGCGACCCATTTCACAGACAGCAAGAACGAGGACCAGAAGATCGAGGGCGCCCTGGACGGTGACATGCACAGGAGTCCAGACCTCCACTTCACTGTGGGTGCAGAGGAAGAACTCCTGAGCCCATACCCACACCTCTAGTCTCAGTTTCCCAGGCGGGGAGAAATTCACAGGACACAATACTGCTGCGAGAAAAGGACCCTCCTTAATCAGGACTCGGAGCCCCGGCTTCCTGTCTAAATAAAATAAAAATAAGGGGCCTTTAATCATAGCACTCGGAAGTTGGAATCAGGAGCATCTCTGCAAGTTCGAGACCATCCTGGGCCACATAATGAGACCACGTCTCAAAAACAAAACAACGCAACACAAAAACCCGCTTTGGCGCTTTACTGGCGTGCCCAGCAACAGGCTGGACTACAATCCCCAGCAGCACTCCTGGACGAAGTCCCCCACTAGACACTCTCGGGTGCTCTGGGAATTGGAGTCTTGGAGCCCTCAAAAGACGAACCCGAGTTCCTAGCCCACGCGCGGGGGGAACAACACATAGTCTGGTCATCCTTGGCGGAAGAACCCTTCCCTGTGCCCTTGGCCTCCTCTGAGTTCTCGAAAGCCGCAGGATACGGGCAGCATCAGAGTTCTGGTGGAGTCTCCCAAACCTCCGCGGAGGGGCGGGACGCGACGCTGACACACCGGCCAGGAATGCAGTCTGGTCACCCTGTCTCGCCGCGGTCCCGCGGCTCCACCCGTCGCCCCACGCGCTGCAGTACTGCTGGGAAGGGGCGTGGGCGCGTCCCCCAGATCCCGCGTCCACGTGCAGCTGTTTACTTGGGCCTCGGGGCAGCGAGGGGTCGGCCAGCTGCACCTGTATCTCCCTCGCAGAGGTGGGGAACACTTCCCGCTCAGGACCCTAAGTCTACGAAGGTATCTACGAGTTTCACACGACCCACTACACCTTGCTCCGTTTGGAGCCACGCTCCGGGCCCTGGGGTCCGAGACTCCTCCCCCTGACCCCAGGACTCCTCCCCCTCGGTTTCCCGCTTACGCCAGATTCCAGAAACTCCGCCTCTCGTAGGTACTTTAAGTCTTCTGATTGCCCGCTCTTTTCTATTTTCCAATCTCGTCCACTCAAGCCTTCTTCTCTTTCGCCACATCAGAGACTTCCCAAGACACACTCTAGCTTTGAAAGCACAACCCTGCCAACCAGAATTTTCACCTGGCTCTTACAGGAGTGTGCACACAATCGACCTTCTGTCTCTTTAAGAGCCGTGGGCGGACTGGGTCACTGCCTCTTTAAGACGGTGTTGGAAGAAACCACGTGGGCAAAGTTGGCGGGGCGGACCCTCCGAGATTCGACCATGCTTGCATTCCTAACAATCAGGGAAGTGATTTCCCCGGAGGTAGATCGTTGAAAAATTAGTCATTCCTCCGCTGTATACTGTTCAAAAGCGGAGATCGGCCCAGTTCCGTAAATAGAGTGACAGCGGCCTAGCCACGCCCCCATTCTCGCACGCGACTTGGACGCTTCCGGGTGCGACTCCACCTCCGGGGTCCACGTGGTGGGCAGCGTTCAGCGCAGGTCGTTGGGATGGCGGGTACCCCGGCCTCCGGTGAGTGCAGCGGGAGGGTCCGGTGCCGAAGAGACTGGGAGGGGGGCTCCTGAAGGGAAGAGACCTACGGGCACCTTGAGAGGTTGGCAGTGCCGAAAGGAGCCCTACACCCCGTTTTCATCACAGGTGCCACTCGGTTCTCCTGCCCCCCCAATTTTACGGCGATGTCTCCAGACTCGGATCCCCCTCGTTTCTCCTTGGAGGCGCTGACGTTTCCAGATACTGAAGTGTGGCTTATACGAGCTCCTGCAGACTTCGCTCCACAGTGGTGAGTGGTCGCTCCCACCCCACCTGCTGGGAATACCTTCCCTCCCCTCCCCACATACACCCTGGAAGCTGAACCCACCCCACACCGTGAATCTAGAACTGTAGACAGCCTTTCTGACAACCCGGAGAAACAGCCTCATTTTGTCTAGCCCAGGCTGGTTTCTAAGTCCCAGCATCGTCTAAGCCTCAGTTTCTTGAGTTCTGGAACTACAAGTGAGTGTCACATATTCTTTTGTTTTGGAGAATCTTTTTTTGTTTGTGTGTTTTGTTTTTCAAGACAGGGTTTCTCTGTAGCTTTGGAGTCTGTCCTGGAACCAGCTCTTGTAGACCAGGTTGGCCCTCAAATCACCTGCCTCCCGAGTGCTTAGCCGTTAATGATGGGGATTAGGTTTAATCTCAGCACTCAGGAGACTGAGGCAGGAAAATGGTAGGCCAGCATGAGCTAGGGAGTACCAAACTAGCCTCACACACAGAGTCTGTCTCAAGAAATAGCCAGGAGCTGGGTGGTGATGCGCACACCTTTAATCCCAGCACTTGGGAGGCAAAGGCTGGTGGATCTCCAAGTTCCCCGGCAGCCTGGTCTACAGAGTGAGTCCCAGGACAGCCAGGGCTACACAGAGAAACGCTGTCTCGAAAACCAGAAAATAAAGATCAAGCAAGTAAGCTAGGAGCGGTAGCACGTGTCTATTTGCAGTACCTGGGAGGTGATCAGGAGTTCTAGGCCTCACACAAACCCCACACAACAGAAGTTAGTTGAAACAAAACTCAGGGATCTAGCACTGAGCTGCACCCTAGCCCAGAAAAACTGCTTCTAGCCCTGGCCTCCCGCTTTGCACTGGATCTAGCCAGCCTCTACCTTCTCCCTTTCTTTTCCTCAGCCTCAATGGGCGCCGTGTGCCTCTCTCTGGCTCGAAGACTGTTAAGGGCAAACTGGATGGCAAGAGGTGCCGATACCGGGTCCTTACCGGCAGTCCTCAGGCTGGAGAAGCCACCTTGCTGGCATCGTCAACAGAGGCAGGAGGAAGACTCACTTGTGCCCCAGCCCCCCATGGGAGCTTAAGGATCATGGAGGGTCTTCAAGAATACCTTATCTCTCGGGTCCCCCTGCAGCCCATTCCCACAAGCCTGCCACCTCAGATCCCTGCTGGCCTGCGGCCTCGGTTCTCCGCCTTTGGAGGCAGCCCTCCGGTCACAGGGCCAGGGTCAGTCATGGCTCTGAGGTCACCCACTTCAGGGAAGAGAAAAAAGAAGAGAAAGGTTGCAGAGGCCTCAGACATTCAGGAGGCAGTCAATGGGCATGGGGCCATGGAGGTGGACACAGCCTGGAGTGGCCTAGAAATGAGGAAGAAGAAGAAAAAGAAGCATCAGGTGGGCGAGCTAGAGATGGTGGAGGCTGAGACGGTAGAGTCCATGGCAGAGATGGCAGAGCCCATGGGACTGCCATTCCCATCTGCCAGCAGCAGCAAGAAGAGAAAGAGCAAGTCCACGGGAGCAGAGACATTCCAGCCAGAAGAGGAGCTGGAACACATGGAATCTGTGGCGGAAATAGAGCCTCCTGACGGGACCATCTTGTCCCCCACCAAGAAGAGAAAGAGGAAGAAGGAGGCCGAAGGGATGGAAGCAGCTGGCTCTCAGCCACAGATCACTGTGGAACCCCAGGAAGAACCCATCCCACTGTCCCCCACAAAGAAGAGGAGAAAAGAAAAGAGGCAGAATTTGGTGATGGAGCCAGATATGGAGCTCCCCAGAGTGACCACAGAGCCTGAACTTCCAGAACATGGACTTCAGGCTGAGTCAGCTCCTGTGTCTCCCAAGAAGACCAAGAAGAAGAAAAAGGAAAAGTGGCTGGGCGAGACACTGGCCTTGGGGGCAGAGGTGGCAGAAGCTGCGCTTGCAGCTAACTTTGAACCCCAGGTGGCTCCAGCACCCAGCAAGAAGAAAGAGAAAGGACAGAAGGTGATAGATCCCCCGTCTGAGATGACTGACCCAAGAGAATCCGAGGAATCTGAGTCTGGAGCAATTCAAGGATCCACAAAGAAGAAGAAGAAGAAGAAGAAGGAGGAGGATCAGGAAAGTGGGGTGTAAGGCACCATTCCCCACTGAGAGATGTCTCCCACGGGACAGGAGAAAAAGCAGAGGAGCCCTACTACTATCCTGGGGAAACTGAGGAACTAACAGCTGAGGTGGCCCAGGAACCAGCTGCAGGTGTGGCCCCCCCCCCCCCAGCAAACACGTCAGCACATCCAGCAGGGGCCTGGGCCTGGACAATGCTTTATTGCGACACTGGAGCCTCAGTGGCAGCGGGTCACCGGGGCACTTTGAGGAACGGTTCATGGAGGACGTCAAAGAGCCTGCGAGCCTAAGGGCAGGGGAGAAAAGAGCTTGTCATTAAAGCCTGTCTGCTTAGACTGTGGGTGTGGCTCTCTTTCCTCCTAGGTTAGAGGAGCTTTGCGGGTCTGGGCTCTGCTTGAGACTGCCCAGGAGGCTGGTCTCTCACTCTTTGGCCTTAGTTTCCCCATGTGTGAGAGAGGCTGATGTAAGTGAGCCATTTAGAACCATAAAACTCATCACCATTTGTGGTGCCCGCATCTTTAATCCCGCATTCTGAAGGGTCTACAGAGTGAGCTCCAGTACAGACTGGGCTATGCAGAGAAATCCTGTTTTGAATAAGTAATAACTAGAATAAAGCAGGAGGCTGGCACACACCCAAGTGTTTGAAGACTGAGGTCAGAAGATCAGAAGTACAAGCCCAACCTTAGTTTGAGCTACTTGAGAAAGTCTCAAAAAACCAAGTAAAAGAAACAAATACAATTTGAAACATGGTGTCAAGAATCCTAGGCTAAAGGTGAGAGGTGGTGGCGCAAGCCTTTAATCCCAGCACTTGGGAGACGGGGCCAGGCGGATCTCTGTAAGTCTCTGTGAGTTCGAAGTCAGCCTAGTCAACAAGAGCTAGTTCCAGGCCAGGGTAGGCTCCAAAGCTACAGCAAAACCTTCTCTTGAAAAATAAATAAGTAAATAAATAAAAATCCTAGGTTGGCGCGGCTAGCTATTTAACCAAGGATAACTTTGAACTTCGGATCCTCCTGCCTTATCCAAGTGCTGGGACTTAACCAGGATGCACAGGCTGCTAAAGTGTCCACCACGCTTAGTTTACGCAGTGCTGGGATCAGTCAGGGCTTTGTGTGTGCCATGATGGTGCTCTACCAACTCAGCTACATTCTCAGCCCCCCAGAAAAATCCTACAGAGCCTTTTAAACCAAGCATGGTGGCTCATGCCTGTGATCAGCAGGGAGAAAATGGTGGCGCTGAGTTCAGGCCCAGCCTGGTCTATAGCAAGATTCAGGCCAGCTAGGACTCTTAAGACCCTGTCTGAAAACAACAACAACCACTTAATAACGGTGGTTCTCAACTTCCTAATGCTGCAACCCTTGCATACAGTTCCTCATGTTGTGACCCCAGCCACAAAATTGCTTCTTCACAACTGTAACTTTGCTGTTATGAATCATAATGGAAATATCTGTTTTCTGATGGTCTCAGGTGACCCCTGTGAAAGGGTCATGGTGCCAGGTTGAGAACCACTGATTCCATAGAGCTTCAGAGACTGAGGTTCATTAATTTGGGGCCTTTCCCCACCCCAACTCCTGTAGGAGCCCCCCTGAGTTCTCACCTTCTGGGGGCCCAGGCCTGGGCACAAGGCTAGATCTTCCCGTGACGCAGTGAAGAGCTGTTCAAGGGACTGAAAGGTGAAATCGGGGAATCAGAGGCAGTGTGCTCTACAACTTAGCTTGTCCCTGCTGCCAGGGATGTCCCCAGGGAGGTGTGGGACTGTGGGGAAGTGAGGAGGGGATGCCAGGGGGCCTCTTACTCCAAATGTAGCCAGGAGGGTCTGGCTGTCCGTCTTGTTGACTGACTTCACAGTGGTCAGACACTCGGTAGCCTGGAGGAGAAAGACAGAATGTTTTCTTGGGCCTGGGAGTACTACTCAGACGGCAGGGGCGGGAGGAGTCCCGAAAGTTTGAGGCCAGCCTGGTCCACAGCCATTTTTCAGGCTTTGTGGGCATAGGGAGATACTGCCTCCGCCTCCAGAAACAAAAAGGGGACTAGAGAGATGGCTAGTAATTAAGAACACATGTCTGCCTTCCAAAGGACCCAAGTTCAGTTCCCAGGCCCCACCCTGGGTAACTCACTTTTTGAGACAGGGTCTCCAGATGTACCCGAGTGGCCTACAGTTAGACCAGGCTGGCCTGAACTCATGGAGATCTGCCTGCCTCTGCCTCCTCTGTGCTGGGATTAAAGGTGTGCGCCACTACTGCCTGGATTTTAGCATGGTTAAGTGGACAGGGCCAGGTAACACTGGCTCCCTGTTGGGTGAGTCACTCCTCTCCCTCTGCTTCTCTTAGGATAATGTCAGCTCCTTCCCCAGGGCTCACACAAGACTGTGGAGTCAATGTGTCCAGTGTGGGGAGTGTAGGTGCAGTTGTGGACAAGAGGCCCTGGGGCTGGGTCACTTCCCAGGAGGACAGCCAGAAAGACATGGACGCAGAGTCCCTCATTAGCAATGGAAATCACCAACTGATTACACAGTAACATTCAAGTGGTCACTAAGTGCCAGGTGGTGGTGTGGTCACAGCAGGGTAATGACACTCTGGGCTAGTAGGCTGAGAGGATGAGGGAGGGCTTCCTGGAGGAGGAGGCATCCGAGCTGGCACAGGACACGTGGATTCTAGCAGAGGGAATGGGATAGATGCTGAGGGCAGGCTAGGAAGTCAGAGCTAAGGGGACAAGGTCTAGTTTGTCCTTAAAGACCCTTGGGACTGGCAGATGCTGAGGGAGGGACAAGCCACTCCAGGTCGGGGTGCAGGACAAGGGAGGCTCTCACCCGGGACAGGAAGTTCTGCTCCAGCTTCTCCATGAGGAGGTCAGCAGGCTTCTGCTCATACGCCTTGTAGGTCTCCAGGTACCGCCCTGCTTCCTCCGCGCTGGGTACAGGACACAGGTCAGCCAGGGTGAGAGCTGTCATTCAGATTTTCCTTCATAGGACTGCTAACAATTCCAGAAACTAGGCCAATTCCAGCCCCAACTCCTGTCATCAGCAGTGAGCCCTGTAGGGTAGGTTCTCACACAGTTGTTTAGTCAGGCTAGGGCTGGAGCTCAGGCAGAGCTAACCACTGCCGCCGCTGAGCCACGCCCCTCCCATCACTGGGGACTCTAGGCAGGGGCTCTACCACCGAGCCTTGCCCCCAGCCCCTCACTGGGGGATTCTAGGTAGGGGCTCTACCACTGAGCCATGCCCCACCTCCCTTTTTCTTGTGATACCTCCATCACCACAGGGTTTTACTGTGTATTCCTGCCTGACTTTGAAATGATCCTCCTGTCTCAGCCTGCCACTAGGATTACAGATGTCCACCACCATACCCAGGCTAAGATTTCTTTTCTTTCTAGGACAGGGTCTTACAGTTCAAAGATTGAACTGCCCTTCTGATCTTCCTGCCTCCACTTCCCAAGTGCTGGAATTACAGGCGTGAGCCTCTACGACAGGTTTATTCAGTGAAGCAACAGAACCTGGAGCTCCCTGCATTGCCGGGAAGCCGTCAATGAAGCCAGCCCTGGCCCTTGCAAACCCTGAGTATCTCTTTCTAAGTTGAAAGCTATTAATTTACCAGGGTTTAATTTCACTTGTGGTGTGAGGAAGGGGTGTTTATTTTTCTTTCTGAAATGGACTTTCTATTTGTAGTTTTGTTGGTGAGCCAATATAAAGCTCTAAAGAGCTATACATGGATACCAGGTATGGTGGCACACACACAATCCCAGCACTCAGGAGGCTGAGGCAGGCAGACTCCAGTGTTCTAGGATAGCCTTGGCTATGGAGACACTCTGGGAAACAACAAACCAGAAGCAGTAGACACAGAATTCCTTCAGTCATTTGGTCTAACCTGGACAAGTCTGGTCTGTCACCTGCCTTGGTGCTTATAACTCTACAAAAAAACTTGCCAAAGGTAGTGGTGCACACCTTTAATCCCAGCACTCAGGAAGCAGAGGCAGGTGGTTCTCTGTCAGTTCAAGGCCAGTCTTGTCTACAGAGGGAGTTACAGGACAGCCAGGGCTGTTACACAGAGAAACCATCTTGGAAAAATAAAACAAAAAACTAGAGAAGATACCATCTTATACATGAGAATATTGAGGCTCAGAGAGAGGCAGTGCCCGTACCAGGCACCCATGGAGGTGCGAGACCCTTGGTCTCATTAGCCCAGGCTGCTCTTGAACTCTTGACCCCCTGCCTTGGACTCCCCAGAGCTGCGATTATAGGCTTGTGCCACCATGCTTGGCTTAGCAACCACCTACACAGGCTGGATGGGCTGGCACGGTGGATGGATGGGGAAAGCGCGTTCTATGTCTTACCTCCAGGCCAGGACCAGGGTGCAGTCTGCTAAAATGCACATCTTAGCCAGCTGCTTCAGGGCCTGCTGAGGGTCTTTCTGGAAGAGAAGAAAGGCAGAAGTGGAGACCTGGGAGACCAAAGGGATTTACAGCATGAGAATCCTATACCTGAGCCAGGGAGAGGCATAGCCAGTAAAGTCACAAGGGCCCAAGTTTAGGCCCTGGCGTGGACCAAAAAGCTGGGTGTGGTGGTATGCTAATCTCAATGCTGTGGTTCCCAGATCCCTACCTCAATCAATCAATCAATCACAGTGGATGTGCAGGGCTTCATGGGTGTCTCCACCCTTGGTACCCGTCTTCAGGCCCAACCACCTGAGTCCCATCCCCAAGATCACAAGAGGGGAGAGAATCAACACACTAAAAGTTGACCTCTGACTTTTGAGTGTGTGTGTCCACACATATGCACACACAAATCAATAAATGTAAAAAATACTTCTTAAATTCTTTAAAACAATATCCAATAGAGCAGCTTAGACAGGAGCCTGGGAAGCCGAGTGGAGGTCACATCTCGCAGGTTCTCACTCACTGGAAGGAGAAAGCAGGACCTAGGGAGCTAGGAAGACTGAGCAAGAGGAGCCGACCTGAGATCCATGCACAGTGACCCATCCAGTCCAGTGGTTATTATGAAAGGAGGGTTAAGACTGAAGGCTGCTCAGTCGTGCCACAAGGACACGTGCTCAACTATGTTCACAGCAGCTTTGTTTGTCATAGCCAGAACCTGGAAACAACCTATATGCCCCTCAGCAGAAGAATAGAAAAGGAAAATGTGGTACATTTATACAATGGAGTACTACACAGCAGAAAAAAATAATGACATCTTGAATTTTGCAGGCAAATGGATGGAGCTAGAAAACATTATTTTGAGTGAGGTAACCCAGACCCAGAAATTATCACATGTACTCACTCATAAGTGGTTTTTAAACATAAAGCAAAGAAAATCAGCCTACAAATCACAATCCCAGAGAACCTA